TCGCGGCGCTATGACAGAAAGATCTGGCGCACTCCAAGAGGATCCTTTGTACATGAGCTACGCGCAAATTATATCGAAATCTTGCGGCGAGGAGGAGGAGGAAGGCGAAGACGAGGGTGGAGGAGGCGAAGAAGAAGGTGGCGCCTCGATCCACGTAAGTATCTTTTCCCAATACTCGTAGACGAATTTAAGAAAAAAGAAAAAGAAAAAAACTCTCTACTAACAAAAACTTTCTGAACTACCAAACAATTTTCGTGTCTTTTTCTCGCGAACTGACCCTATAGAAGCGGGGCCATAAGCCACTTATGGTAAGAACAAGTAGCAACCTAGTCGTTTGCGGAAATTCAACTGCTTTTATACGCTCGTTCATTGAAAACCGGACGTTACCATTTGCGAAATGCAAAGCCAATTACTCGAAAATTTCATCGTAGTTGATCCCGAATGAAAAGATCGTTCCTGCTCAAAAACGCACGACGTACGAATTTGTAAATGCATACGCTTGCATCAACGGTAGACTGAATTGCCTGATCACTCTGTACAAAACCAATCTCCACACACGTTCATTATGTATCCCTGACAATGATTAACACTGATTCGTCAAATCATCGGGAATATTTCCAACTTCACTAACGATATTCTCTAACGTTTTCTTTAACGCTCTCCCTGAAGCGACCGATGCACAAACTCATGGTAAGAAGAAAGGAAACGTAGAATAAAGTTGAATAAAGTTGAAAAAAGAACTTTCGAAACGCGCTAAATTGAACAGTCAAAAGAAAGAAAGAAAAAAAAGAAAATCGTTCTCAATTGTTCGTGATCCAGGAGCAAGAAATGGAGAAGCAGAAACTTCTGTTCCACCAAGCGCGGCTCGCGAATCGCGGTGTAGCAGAGATGGTGCTGCTTCACATCTCGGCGTGCAAAGGTCTTCCCAGCGAGATGGTGATGAAGACCTTGGAACTGGGCATCTCCATCTTACGCGGCGGCAACATAGAGATTCAACGAGGAATGCTGAACCACTTGAAGGAAAAGAAGGACGTGGGCTTTTTCACTTCGATCGCCGGTCTTATGAATTCCTGCAGCGTGTTGGATCTGGACGCGTTCGAGAGGAACACGAAAGCGGAAGGCCTGGGAGTTGGCTCCGAAGGTGCTGCCGGCGAGAAGAACATGCACGACGCCGAGTTCACGTGCGCTCTGTTCCGATTCATTCAACTGACGTGCGAAGGGCACAATCTCGGTGAGTCTGGGTTTCCTTCTTTCCGTCTTTGACGAAGCTTCTGAAAAATTTCTGCCCGAAGTTCATCGATTAACCAACGTCAAATCGATATCGACAGACTGGCAGAATTATCTGAGAACGCAGGCTGGTAACACGACGACGGTGAACGTGGTCATCTGCACCGTCGATTATTTGCTGCGCTTGCAAGAATCCATCATGGACTTCTACTGGCATTACTCCAGCAAGGAACTCATCGACCCCGCTGGCAAGGCTAATTTCTTCAAAGCCATCGGCGTCGCCAGTCAAGTATTCAACACTCTCACCGAAGTGATCCAGGGGCCTTGCGCTCAGAATCAACAAGCGCTTGCGCACTCTCGATTATGGGACGCGGTCGGTGGATTCCTCTTCCTTTTCTCCCACATGCAGGACAAGTTGTCCAAACACTCGAGTCAAGTTGACCTTCTGAAGGAATTGTTGAACTTGCAAAAGGACATGATTACCATGATGCTCTCCATGCTGGAAGGTACTTCCTTCTCCGAATTGATTCAAGAATTTTGTCTTTCCTCTGGAGCTCTAATCGTCGAATTCTCTATCATCACGTAGGTAACGTCGTGAACGGAACGATTGGAAAACAGATGGTGGACACGCTGGTAGAATCCGCAGGCAACGTCGAATTGATTCTGAAATACTTCGACATGTTCCTGAAGCTCAAAGATCTCGTATCGTCGCCAAGCTTCTTGGAGGTGGATCTGAACAACGACGGTTGGGTGTATCCGAAGGACTTCAAGGAGAAGATGGAACAACAGAAGAGTTACACCAAGTAAGTATCGTATCTCTATACTTGTACGTTTGTGTTAATAACGAAGAAGAGATCACGATGGGATTTCTTCTTTCAGCGAAGAGATCGAATTTTTATTGGCATGTTGCGAGACGAATCACGACGGCAAAATCGATTACGTGGCTTTCATGGACCGTTTCCACGAACCAGCCAAAGAGATTGGTTTCAATCTTGCTGTTCTATTGACGAATCTGTCGGAACACATGCCGAATGAACCGAGACTGGCGAGGTTCCTCGAAACGGCAGGCTCCGTGTTGAACTACTTCGAACCGTACCTCGGAAGGATCGAGATCCTCGGTGGCAACAAGAAGATCGAGCGTGTGTACTTCGAGATCAAGGAGTCGAACATCGAACAGTGGGAGAAACCGCAGATCAAGGAGTCAAAGAGAACGTACTTTTATAACACCGTGGTGGAAGCCGGTGAGAAGGAGAAGTTGGAGACCTTCATCAACTTCTGCGAGGACGCCATCTTTGAAATGCAGCACGCGAGCGCGCTGATGGCGGTGGAGGAAAGCGGAGGGATCGGAAAGGCGAGAGAATCATCTTACACTTACATGACCGACGACGACGAAGAGAGGAACAAAGACCCCATCAGGAGAGGCATTCAAACGTTCAAAGACAGCATTTACTTCTTCTTCTCCATATTCTCACCTACCAACATCAAGAACAAAATCGCAGAAATGCAGCAGATGACGTTCCTAGAGCTCTTCATCGGTTTCTTCAAGATGATATTCTACGCTTTCTACTATTCTGGTTTTGGCGTTGGATGTGTAATTGGATACTTCATGAGGTTACTGTTGGCGTTGATGAAAGGGCCACACGTGGAAGAACCTGTGATCGAGGTGAAGGAAGGTGAAGAAAAACCGGCAAGACACTTGCCTGCGTTACCGCCAACACCGGACGAATCGAATCTACAGGTTCGAAAACAGATATCCAAAGATTCAAAAATGCGTACGATAAGACGCATAAATTACAGACAAACTCAATTCTTACGTAGGTACAAGCGTTCGGAATGGACATAACGAAAGAGGAAGGCGGACAAATAAAGATCGCGCCCCACGAGTCGGCAACGTCCACTCCTCAATCAAGCATCGAGGAAACGGGTGAAAGCACGCCGGAAGAAGCTGCTGGCGAGGAGGGTGCGAGAGGTGAAGGCGGCGGAGACACGGAGTCACCTGTCTCATTGGCTGACTTATTAGGGTATGACTAAGTTTTCTAATTGCAGCGTAACGTGTTTTCTATTAGGTACGTCTTGGTTTAGCAACTTCCAAGATCAGTTGCAATTCTAATAATCGGGAAGATGGTTGAAAACGTTTACTCGCGACGCGAAACACGAATACAAATATTGAGATATTTGCAAACAGAGGCGAACAAGCTAGAGCCCAGGCAGCAGCTGCGGCTGAGGCAGCAGCCGCTCAGCAAGCAGCCATGGCTGCTGTAGAAGCGGAAGCGAAGCAGGAAACGATAGCAGAACCGTCGGGGTCGTCTATCGATTTCTCCGATTACACCCATCGCGTGGTCTCCTTCTTGGCCAGGAACTTCTACAATCTAAAATACGTGGCTCTCGTTCTCGCTTTCTGTATCAACTTCATGCTGCTGTTCTACAAGGTGAGCCCACCCATCCTCTGAACTCGAAACTTTCGCGCCAGTTCGTATAAATACGAGCAAAATCACCGACTTGCAGGTTACATCTTTGGGTGGCGACGAAGACGAGGAAGGAAGCGGACGAATGGCCGACATGTTGGCAGAGATATCTGGCGAGGGTGCGTCTGGCTCCGGAAATGGCAGTGGTATAGAAATAGGAAGCGGAAGTGGGGAGAACGAGTCGGAGGAAGAGGAAGACGAACCGCTCGAATACGTGGAGGTGTCAGAAGACTTTTACTACATGGCACACGTTATAAGACTCATGGCTATGCTTCATGCGATCGTCTCTCTTGCTATGCTGGTTGCCTATTATCACTTGAAAGTACGATCATTTCGACGATCAGAGTTCTCTGTATCTCGATTGTGCATTCGTGTTGACTTGCCTATGTTACCGCAGGTACCGCTGGCTATCTTCAAACGGGAAAAGGAAATTGCGCGACGCGTGGAGTTCGATGGTCTGTACATCGCTGAAACGCCGGAAGAGGACGACATCAAGGCGCACTGGGACAAGATGGTGATATCGGCGAAAACGTTCCCCGTGAATTATTGGGACAAGTTCGTGAAGAAGAAAGTTCGACAGAAATACAGCGAGACTTACGACTTTGATTATATAAGCAACTTGCTTGGCATGGAAAAGACTTCGTTCAGCCAACAGGAGGAAGAGGGTTCCGGTTTGATACACTTGTGAGTAAGATTACGCAGATTTTTCTAGTTTCTGCAGTGGTCTTCGATCACCGTCGTTCTCGTTCTTTTCTTTTCTTTTTTCCAGTATCGTAAATATCGATTGGAGGTACCAAGTATGGAAAGCGGGAGTTACCATCACGGATAACGTAAGCAAACGATTAATACTGGTGAAATCTAATTCTGTGATTAGTTCTAGGATGTTTGAAATCCGTGATATTTGTTCACAGGCATTTTTGTACAGTCTGTGGTACTTTACATTTTCAATCCTTGGCAATTACAACAACTTCTTCTTCGCTGCTCATTTGCTCGATGTCGCGGTTGGTTTCAAGACTCTAAGAACGATCTTACAGTCTGTCACGCATAATGGCAAACAACTGGTGTTAACAGTGATGTTGTTGACTATCGTCGTCTACATATACACGGTCATAGCCTTCAACTTCTTCAGAAAATTCTACATTCAGGAAGAGGACGATGAAGTGGACAAGAAATGTCACGACATGTTAACGGTATGATGTAGAAAATGTCTAAGTACGCAATTATAACACATTTTATTCGAATTGTACCGACTCATGATCGTGCCAATGCACGTTCGTATAATAAGCTTTTTATAATGAATAAAAATGAGCACGATGAGAAAAAAAGAGAAATCATAAATCAGATCGATGAATCTCTTGCGAATTGCGAAACAAGTTATAAACCTCGTCCTTTGCCTTTGAATGATACATGATAATAATTAGCGTATTGAATCAATTAACACGAATTTTATTGATGATTATTTTTGTTTTCATATATTCGTTTCAGTGCTTCGTATTCCACTTGTACAAAGGTGTCAGAGCCGGTGGTGGTATCGGTGATGAAATCGGTGAACCTGATGGCGACGACTACGAAGTCTATCGTATCATGTTTGACATCACTTTCTTCTTCTTCGTTATTGTCATTCTGTTGGCTATTATTCAAGGCAAGTTGAAGAAAACATCAATGTCGTTATCGAATTGTTGAGTTTTAACTCTGTGTCTTTGCCGCGAACAGGTTTGATCATCGATGCATTCGGCGAGCTTCGAGACCAGCTCGAAAACGTGAAGACAAACATGGAGAGCAACTGTTTCATTTGTGGCTTAGGAAAAGAATATTTCGACACGGTGCCGCACGGTTTCGACACGCATGTTCAGCAGGAGCATAATCTTGCCAATTATATGTAAGCTACGTTCGCAAGAATTTATATCCTTTCAAGCAACGTAAATCGTCATGGTTGCAAATTTTCCAGGTTCTTCTTGATGCACTTAATCAACAAACCAGACACCGAGTACACCGGTCAAGAAACGTACGTGTGGAACATGTATCAGCAAAGGTGTTGGGACTTTTTCCCAGTCGGCGATTGCTTCCGCAAGCAGAACGAGGCGGTGGAGGAAGAGGCGAAGAAGAAATAAACAAATTTTTCAAATTTATCTCGTTTTACATATAGTTGAACGACCAATCGATCAATCTACCAAGGAGGATTCCCCTCTCTGAAATCATCTTCGATGATATTTGTAGTCTGTAATTTCTGTACGCGAAGGAAAGGTAGAGCGCGCAAAGACGCCGCGAACAACGTACGATTTCAATTTTTCGAACGCTATACTCTCGCTCGTTTATCGACATCTCGTCGTTATTCCAAGTTTTAGGCGAACTTGTTCGCAACACACGGATTACCGGTGCCGATCGATTTGCACGCAACTCGTGCAAAATCTCGAAGGGACTTGCATTTTCGATCGCGCGCGAACGAACGAGCGAGGCAAGTTGGAGGAGACTGGCGAAATATTTTTCCAACTTATTTTTCCAACTTTGTAAAGATATGGCTGGATATCGTGTAACACAACAGTTTCCTCTCCTTATATAGATAGATAATTTACAAAGTGTTGTTGATCATCGACAAGAGAACCGACTGCACAAATCTACATTCGTCATGACGATTCGTCGTTATATCGATTGCCTTCTTTTCATACGCCATGAGTGACTACATCTTGTGCATAACAATTTCACTCACTGACGCAATGTTTGAGATATTACAAGAATATTACGTAAGTTGAAGGTGTTTCAAAGTTTATATATCAAATTGTAAAATGTTTCTTCCATGATTCGTGTGGGAACTTTTTAATAATTATTGACGACTGAAATCACGATGTAATCAAACATGTCAATATGTTGTAAATAAGAATCTAAACGACAAGATTTACCTGAGAATAAAGAAAGACATACTTCTTTATCTCGATGCTCTATTTCCAATCCCTCCCATCCCCCCGCATCTAATATTTGATTGATTCTTAAATCACACTTTAGCAAGTAACAATCGACTGATTCTTTCCAAGTATATCGTCATCGTTCAACGATAACATGCCTGCTGGTAAACAATGATAACGCGATTAAAATTCAAAAGAAAATTTCATCTGCCATTTTCCCAATAGAATGCATTTACAATAGATCGAAAGCTTGACCTTCCACTCCTCTCCACTCTACTCCTCAAAAGTTTCAACATTTCAATTCCATCGATTTCTTTCGAAACTTGTTTCCTGAAAACTCAAATCTTGACGCTAACTGATGAAAATCCGAAAGAAGTCGTCGCTGATAAAACGATCGATGGATCTAGGCGAAGCTGGTGCCCAGAGGAGGGGGAGAAACTGGACTGCACCCCGATCGATCGATCCAGCGTGGCAGAATAACGAAAAAGGAGAATCCACGGAACCAGCGTGTTTCCTTGGTTGTGTACGTTTCTGGTCGTGTCGGCAAAACGAAAAATACCGGTTGCCTCCTTGTGCAGAGCCGATAGAGGGAAAGAGGTCGCGCAAGCGCCCCACCTCTAGCGCCGGCGGCTGAGAGCCTCGGGGCGAAAATGCACCCTGGCATGGGAGTGTCAGCGGGCGATCGTCGCTGCGGCGAAAATACGGTGATGCAGGCCAGGAACGGGATCTGCGACAAGATCGAAAATTACATATCCGATCTGGGACAATGGTACGTAAGCGAAGGCTGATTGATCGGCAAGTGGAACCCTCTGACGAGAAGCCGAGCGTCGAATCATCCTCGGACCGGCTTTTCGTTTCTCTCGAGCCGGCCAAGGGAAGGGGAACGTCGAGGATAAAAGTGGCGGGTGTTTACGAGGAATTTCCTAACGTTCAGCTAGTGGGTGGAAAAACAACGGTTCTCGGTTCATTGATCTCGCATTGTCTCGTGCTTCGGACCTGTTACTTCGGCGGAATATAATAGTTCCGTTGCTCGCTTCGATTAAAGATGGTTTTGGTGTGTTGCGCGGAGAAAAATACAATTATTTTTTCGTCAAAAAAAAAAAAAAAAATAGTTTGCAAATATTGGTCAATAGTTCAATTAATCTTGATTCGGAGATTTTCTCGTTGTCCATTTTTTTACGGTTTTAAGTTTCGTTTCATCACGCACGAAACGTTTGATGTTTTTAATTGCATTTTCCATCGTTAACAGGTCAGTATGGAGAGCGATAATACTGGGACAAGTGCTGTCCCTGGTGTTATGCCTCATGACGCACGCGAATCATCACATCAACACCGCGTATCAACTCGCGCTCCCGTCCGGTAAGTCATTGATGAACAATCGCTTGCATAAATAATCGACACGCGGGAATTGCGATCGAACAATGTTTGTCATGGAGAATCTCTTCCACGGAATAGCACAAAACCTTCCGCATTACGTTATGATGTGTCTTGTATACACAACCTGGATGTCCTGCAGAGGAGTAGGGAACGGCCTAATTTCCGTCATAAAAGCCCGTGGATGGAGGTACTTGCTGTTGGCCCTCATTGACGTCGAAGCGTGTACACTTGTAACATCCTCGCATCAATTCACCAGCCTGGCTGGAATACAGGTACGCGCTAATGATGTCACGTGGCATTTCAACGTTACACTTTTGCCAAACAACAGCGACGACGAAATTCTTTGCTTTCGAGACGTTAATTATCATCGTTCTAGTAGAACCGAAACGAAAGAGAACCAGCAGCAAATGGCTTTTCATTTGAACCGCAAATGTTGTTTCGACGAATAAAATTTTATTTTGCAAGCAGCTGTAAAATTTTTCTTTCGCAACGCGTTTTCTTTAAATTAATTCCCCCAGTGTCTTTTCTCCTTTTTCTTTTTTTTCCTTTTCATACAAATTCTACGAAACTCGCGTTTATTCAGAATTCAAAGGAAACGGAACGACAACTTCGTTGAATGTGAAAACGGTTCATTCTTCGATGCTGGTACGAAGTTCCGCTTCGTTGAAATAAGGGGCAAGCGGTGCACCGCACAATCTGTATACGATTGAGAATGCAACTTTCATAGCCGTCAATTAAACGGCCGCGAGTATTTGTGGTCGCGATGAATGGCACGGAGCATTGTATCGGATATACACTACCACCAACAAAAGGAGAATACCGGGTCGAAGACCCGGCATACTCACCCCCTTGTCGCCTATTCTTTGATCGAACTACGTTCTCTATTGAAATGTTAACGGTCTAGAGCAACGAGGATGTTTAATCGGAAGTAATTCTGTTTCAGCTGCTCGATTGCGTGGCTATACCAGTTGCATTGGCGTTGTCGTGTTTGGTTCTCGGCGTGAGATACAGAATGGTGCACATAGTCGGCGTTTCCGTTTCCCTGATGGGGGTGGGATGCTTGGTTTGGGCAGGAATTGATGACAATAAAGATCCTACGACTACAGGTGATTGTTCGACGAACGCATTCCGATGATCAAATGCCACGAATTCTTAATCGACGTCGAAAACCGGTTAACTAAATAAATTTCAATTTTAATGTTTCTGTACAAAGGGAAGAATCACCTCGTTGGTGATATGCTGTGCCTCGGTGGCGCGGTGTTGTTCTCCATAACAACGGTACTACAAGAGTTAACAGTAAAGACAGTCGATATTATCGAGTACCTCGGCATGATCGGTTTCTTCGGTACTATATTATGCTGCATGCAAACGTAAGTCCTCCGTCAAAACGGAAAAACAAAGAAAGATTCAGTTGATTATTACGATTTGTATCATTTATTATTCCAGGGCCGTGTTAGAGAGCTTAAAGTTGGAATCATTTCAATGGTACAACGCACCAGTAATCACGTTCTTGGTGTTTTACTGCATCACGCAATTCGTATTTTTCTCGCTGGTGCCTGTTATATTGTTCGAATCCGGTGCAACTGCATTGCAATTAGCACTGCTGACTGCAGATTCCTTCAACGTTTTATTTGGCATGCTGCTCCATCAATACAGGGTATATCTCCTTTTAAAATGATCGTTATACATTAAGATGTAAACAGAAACATAACGTTACTGCTCTAATTTCTCACGTGTCCGAATAGAATACGTGTTACACGAATAGAATCGTCTATTGCGACATAACAGACAATACACGGATACATATGCTAATAAAGTTCCTACCACCTGTTCCAGTTTCACGCATTGTATTTCGTCTCCTACACGCTCACAATGACAGGCATATACATCTACGCGATAAAGAGAACTCCAACGTCGACGAACTCACGGAGACAGCATGCTGAACCGTCTGCTCCAGATTACAGGTAATATATTACACGAAGAAGAGGTGTCCTACGAAGCGAAAATTTTTAATTTTTAAAGCGAGTAGATCTATCTACGTTGCAAAACCAAACGTCAGAAACAGCTGCGAGGGAAAGTTTTTTCTTCGAATAACCTCGTTAACGAGCTATTCGTTTCATTTATCCTTCAATTGAATGTATCTCTATCAAATACTTCCACTCAAAAAATAATTTTCTTTTACGCAATAATAACTTTTTTTTCTTTTCCTTTTTTTTATTTTCACAACCACCCTAATAAGAACTTAACGATTGACCGTGGATTAAAGTGATGTCATTTTAAGACATATGTCTCATCCTGACGTCGGAGAGGTGGAAATGGCAACAAGTTCGGGGATGTCTGGCGTGAGTGGTACCCTCGACATGAGGACGTCGACCCTTGGCAGCGAAAAAGAAACAATAGACGCGACAAGTTTACCGCCAAGCGTTAGCTCTGACACGGCCTTCACCTCCTTTTATGGAAGTTACTACGACTGAGAGAGAGGTCGCGAGAAGATTCCAGAGGAAACGTAGAGCCAGCCGGGAAACTCTGAAATTTTGCCGCGTCCGCGCTCTTGTTGAAGTTTTACACCAAGTTCGAAATTAATGATCGCAAAAGAACGTTCTTTCGGTTTCTATGACGTTATACAACGTAAGGATATAAATAGATCTCTTCGTCGATTGATAAGTTTATAATAACGCGTTGCACAGTGTTCTGATTAGCGCAGTGAATTTTCTAAGAATCTAACCGTCTAAAATATCGATCAGTCGCGTATAAATGCGATCTTCATTGTTGATTTGACTGTTTATCAAAATGTAAGTACTATACATTCTTGTTGCTCAACATACTTTGTAAATGATAACGTTACGGTGTAATACAATTGTTATTAATGTCTAAAGGACGTTACCTAATTTCCTCGTTGTGAGATAATATGTGAGAATCGATAACGATTATTTTTATGATTCTCATTCATCTTCGTTTGTGAACTGTATTTTACATTCTAATGTGTCCATCCATGTGTCGGAACGTTATTTCATATGTTGTGTATATTTTTTTGAAGTAAATCAATAAATAAATGATAAATCAAATGCAAAATTCTTCTCTTCTTTTTTCTCACTCCTTTCCCCCCGATTTTAATATCTCACGCATTTCAGAAAAACCGCGTGTGGCGACGTGTTTATCATTCGCGACATCTGTTGACTAAGTCTTGAAAAAATCAGTGACGATGCCGCAATGGCGGGTTCCATAGAGATCCCACTTCGTGATACGGACGAGGTGAATATTTTTGTTTATACTATTCAATATTACTATGTAGAAAGTGTCGGAAGTAAGTTAAACGATTCTTGCCCTCACCCCTTACGCGTAATTCGAGATTCTCTAAAGACTCGTGATATGAAGACATTTTCATGAACCTAACCTCTACAAGAAATGTTTATGGAATACATCATACACACCATAGCCTATAGATGCACAAACAACTTCCTTGGTTATTTTGGAATTTATTCCACAATATAAAATATCAATTGCCATTGTTTTTCATTCATTTTGACAAAATAACTCTCAATTGATTTACTGACCTTATTTTATCCATGTTATTTTCATTTGTATTATGTATAGTAAAATTGTCTAACATTAGCCATCTGTTAAGTGAAATTTTTCAATAAATTGAATTTTTTGTCTACATTTTGTCTACTTAAATGCCTGACCATATCATTGATTAATCTTTTTAATTCTTTAAACTATATGTTATTAGGTAATTGAGCTTTACCTTGATCAATTACCAGAAGGAGATGAGGTTCTTGGAATTTTACGTCAAGAACATGCGCAGCTTAATATTTGGGTCAATTTGGCCGTATGTATCTCAAAATATAATAGTTATAGTGGAAGAGTAGCAAAAAAGTGACATAATGTTCTTTTATTATAGCTTGAATACTACAAACAACACAAAATTGAAGATTTCATTAAAATACTTGAATCTTCTCGAATTGATGCTAATATTGACTACCGTGACTATGAAAAAGATCAAATGCGCGCTTTGGACATGTTGGCTGCATATTATGTGCAGGAAGCCAACAGAGAAAAGAATAAGGACAAAAAGAGAGATCTGTTTACAAAAGCTACCTTATTGTATACAACTGCAGACAAAATTATTATGTATGACCAGGTAATATTTATAATATTTCATTTGCTACGTGGAGATATTTACATGTTATTTGAATAATATTTTTTTATGCTGCAGAATCATTTACTTGGACGAGCTTATTTCTGCCTCTTGGAAGGTGATAAGATGGATCAAGCAGATGCCCAATTTAATTTTGTACTAAATCAGTCTCCAAATAATATTCCTTCCTTATTGGGTAAAGCATGTATAGCATTTAACAAAAAAGATTATAGAGGTGCTCTTGCCTTTTATAAAAAGGCTTTGAGGACAAATCCAAATTGTCCAGCTGCTGTGAGACTGGGAATGGGACATTGTTTTATGAAATTAAACAATCAGGAGAAAGCACGTTTAGCATTTGAAAGAGCTTTGCAGTTAGATGGTCAATGTGTTGGAGCACTAGTTGGACTTTCGGTTTTGAAACTAAATCAACAACAGCCTGATAGTATCAGAACTGGTGTCCAAATGTTATCTAAAGCTTATACGATTGATTCGACAAATCCTATGGTATTGAATCATTTGGCAAATCATTTCTTCTTCAAAAAAGATTATAACAAAGTACAACACTTGGCACTACATGCATTTCACAATACTGAGAATGAAGCCATGCGTGCCGAAAGTTGCTATCAATTAGCCAGAGCATTTCATGTCCAAGTAAGTCTTTTTTCGGTGTAAGATACGCTCTATATGTACTCTATATGACATATAATTAAAATGTTTCAGGGTGACTATGATCAAGCATTTCAATATTATTATCAGGCAACACAATTTGCTCCACCAGTTTTCGTATTACCTCACTTTGGCTTAGGGCAAATGTATGTTTATCGCGGTGATGCAGAAAATGTAAGCATAATGTGCTATATTATAACTGATTATTATGATAAAAATGATAAAATTTTCACGCACGGTTTTTTATATTACCGCACGGTAGGCAGCACAGTGCTTCGAAAAAGTGTTGAAAGCTCAACCAGGCAATTACGAAACAATGAAAATTCTTGGATCATTGTACGCAAACTCGAGTTCTCAATCGAAACGTGATATTGCTAAAAACCATCTTCGGAAAGTGACGGAACAATTTCCCGACGATGTTGAAGCATGGATTGAACTAGCCCAAATATTGGAACAAAGTGACCTTAACGCAGCCTTAAATGCATATGGTACTGCAACTAGGATTTTAAAAGAAAAAGTCCAAGCGGATATACCTCCCGAAATTCTAAATAATGTTGGAGCTTTACATTATAGGTACATTCCAAATTTTCTTTCTTCAAATTTATTAATTACTTTCCTATTAAAACTAAACGCTTATTGCCTGATCATAGACTTGGAAATTTGGAAGAAGCTAGGAAGAATTTTGAGGAATCTCTGGCGCGTTCTGAAGCAGATGCCTTACACGATTCTGTATACTATAATTCAATTGCGGTTACGACGACGTACAATTTAGCTCGTTTGAACGAAGCTTTGTGCATATTTGATAAAGCAGCAAAATTGTACAGAGCCATTTTAGACAAGCATCCAAAATATGTAGATTGTTATTTACGACTTGGCTGTATAGCTCGAGATAAAGGACAAATTCTTGAAGCATCTGATAGATTTAAAGATGGTTTAAGTATAAATAAGGAGCACCCAGATGCATGGTCTCTTTTGGGTAATTTACATTTGGCCACAATGCAATGGGGTCCTGGTCAAAAGAAATTTGAAAGAATTTTAGATAATCCCGCAACAAGTACCGATGCCTATTCTCTGATTGCTTTGGGCAACATTTGGTTACAAACTTTGCATCAAGGTGGAAAGGATAAAGATCGGGAGAAACGACATCAAGATAGAGCATTGGCTATGTATAAACAGGTATGGCAATAAAAGATAAAAAATATTTGCACTCGTATGTATATATTGAAATTCTCTTAGGTTTTACGAAACGATCCTAAAAATATTTGGGCAGCGAATGGAATAGGAGCTGTATTGGCGCATAAAGGTTGTGTAAATGAAGCCAGAGATATTTTTGCTCAAGTTCGAGAAGCAACGGCAGAATTTTGTGATGTTTGGTTAAATATTGCGCACATTTATGTGGAGCAGAAACAATTCGTTAGCGCTATCCAGATGGTAATTTTTCGTTTTGTGTTTGATATTAGAAGATAAGGTAGTGTCTTTGCAAATACGTATATATATCATAAATGTATTTTTACAGTATGAAAACTGCCTTCGGAAGTTTTATAAATATCATCACGTAGAAGTTCTGCAGTATCTTGGAAGAGCTTACTTTAAAGCTGGTAAATTAAAGGAAGCAAAATTGACGTTATTAAAAGTGAGTCAGAAACATTGTTCATCCCCATGTGGTTGAAACTTATTAAAAAAGAAAACATAATCAATTTTATAATTTTATAAATTATAAAAATTTTTATAATTTAGGCAAGAAGAGTAGCTCCACAGGATACTGTCTTACTGTATAATTTCGCACTTATCCTTCAACGTTTAGCCACGCAAATTTTAAAAGACGAAAAATCCACCTTGACAACAGTGCTGCAGGCAGTTCATGAATTAGGACTCTCGCATAAATACTTCCAGTATCTATCGACGCATAAAAAGAGAATGGGACAACTTGCGCAAGCAGAAGCAAAACGATGTCAAGATCTGTTATCACAAGCACAATATCATGTTGCTAGAGCTAGACGTTTGGACGAGGAAGAGAAAATGCTTAGGAGGAAACAAGAAGAAGAGAGGTAATCGTGTGAACGTAATTAACATATGGAATTCATCAAACACGATGATATTGATTCTGTGTTAATTGTAGGCAAGCGTTTAAAATGCGGCAAACGGAAGAACAAAGAAAACTTGAAGAAATGCGACGTCAAAAGGAAGAGGAAATGCTACAAAAACGGCAAGAATACGTTGAAAAGACAAAGAATGCTTTGGTATTCGGCGAAATGCCTTCAGAGAAGCCAGGAAGGAAAGGCAAGAGAGTACGCACTGATCAATACGTTAGTGACAGTGGTGGTTCTGGAAGAGAAGAAGGTCGGGACGAAGCTCCTAGAGAGAAGAAACGGAAAAGGAAAGCAAGTGGTGAACGTAAAGAAAGAAAGGGCAAGGGTAAAGGAAGGCGTAAGAAGGAAATGGCGAGTGGAGACAGTGGTAAGATAGTGTTTCATCAATCTTTGATCGTACATATAATTAAACTGTTTCAAAAATGATAAATTTTCTTTCGCCTAATATTCAGGTTCAGAAAGTGATCGACCCAAGCCGAAACGTGGAAGAAAAGGCGGCGTGAAGAAGGACAAAACATTTCGGAAAAGTACAGCTGAAACTACAAAAGGCAAGATGCCCTTATCAAAAGAGACTATATCG